GATGAACCGCCCCGAACGGGGCTTAATAGCCGCTACAACAACAACAACAAACAGTGTTACCGCTAATTTTTGTTAATATCAGAAAAACCGGTCAAGGCGGAAAACAAGTTTCACTGGACAATTCACACACATACATACATATTTATTTAAAACACAGTGGCCGCCATGGTAGAGTCATTAGAGATGCACACTATCACTTCGTAGATCCAGGATTCGGTCGCTGGTCCGAGTTACATCAAAAAATACTGTAGGATAGATAGATACTAGTAGGGTAAGCACTGCCCTCAGCTTACCACAACACCGAATCCAGCCCCAGAGGCTACGAATTATAAATAGATCAANACATCAAAAAATACTGTAGGATAGATAGATACTAGTAGGGTAAGCACTGCTTACCACAACACCGAATCCAGCCCCAGAGGCTACGAATTATAAATAGATCCCGTGGGCAGGGAGTGTAGTGTTGTCCTTGAAGACTCGTCAGCTTGGTCCGCTTTAAAAGATTGTCCTCTGGTTCGACCTTATATAGCCAAATACGAGACTTGATTTCAACAACGGGATCGGAAGTTCTCTCAAAAGCACCTGCGCAGCTAATAATTTTCTTATGGATAATCGAGGTCTCAGACCTTTTACAGCTCTTGAGATTTATGGCGTGATGAGAGGTGTTCCTACTTGCTTCAAGGAAGACGAGATAGTGTAAGATGCTAAATCAGCAACCCATATCATGTCCATCCGTCGTTTCACTAGAAAATATATGAAAATTGGTACAATAATTCCCACTACTAATAAAACTGGTTTTTCCGAAGAAGACATTGTATTTTTTTTTGTCTTAATGTTATAACTGTAGCAGACTTTGCCCCACCAAGCTATCACGCAAAGCTAAATAAAGGTGTATAATGTGCGGCAAAAGGGAGTGTAAACACCCGTCTTGTGCGGCCACCAACTTTATTATTTGTGGCTAGTCAGGTAAACCAAATAAGTTTTTGTTAGTGTATTTTTATTTACTTTTTTTATTGACTTCAAAATTATACTTATTTATTTACAATAATCGTAACAAGTTCACCACTAACTTTAACTTTCTCTCAGCTTCTGGTAGGATTAAATGCTCCATTTTAATTTAAATTAATTATGTATATATGTATATTCGCAATACTGCTATGCACCAGCAATTTGATTTTGAATTTTACTTTGAAGCCGAGAACACGCGACTGTGGAATATCCTTCAGACCAGGTCTACAGCGCCATTCGTTTAGCAAAAAGTGGAATAATCTCCCATCGTTCCAAATGGATCTCAAGAAAATGGGAGATATCAGCGAAAAATTCTACGAATGTAGGATATCGACAATTAGATCAGCCTTGAACTAATTTTTTCAGGGCAGTCGTCTGCATGCAGCAATACGAACTGCGAGCCAGCTTACTTTAGTTAACCCTTTAACCGAAAATTCATATACATAGGTCGCTCACATTGTCCACGAATGTACGAACGCGGACGTAAGACTTGGTAAAACTTAGCTTTATTGCACAGTTTGCATCTTTTGTACAAATGCATGCAGATACGTATGCATGTATTTACATATGTTGTATATGTATCTCTGAATTTCTGTTGTTGCCAGTCAGCAAACGCTGACTAATGGGTAAATACATATAATGTAACATTACCAATATTACCCATGTCTTCTGCTTGCATTTACGAAAGAGACTTTAAAGTCGAAGAAAAATATTATATATATTATACATTGCAATTTGCTTTTTACTCATATGAGTGGTCAAATGAAAATGCGCAAAATTCTTTTGTATGAAATTCGAGAAGTAAAGCGTGTTACTCGCGTGTACGTGGCGTATGCGTATGCGTATGGAGAATTTCATTGGCTTTTCNTATACATTGCAATTTGCTTTTTACTCATATGAGTGGTCAAATGAAAATGCCCAAAATTTTTTTGTATGAAATTCGAGAAGTAAAGCGTGTTACTCGCGTGTACGTGGCGTATGCGTATGCGTATGGAGAATTTCATTGGCTTTTCTTTGCCGTATTTTATATTAAGATTTTTAAATTGGTTCGTAAGATATACGTGATTAAAGGGAACCAATTGTTGCTTTAAGCTGAATAACGGTAATTTGCAAATATCTCGAAAACGTATCCATAGGAAAAAAAAAAAATAGCTCGATTTTTGGAATCACCGAGCAATTCTACATAGGAATTTGATAGTGGCGTCTGGAGAACAATTTCGCTGTAAACCAGTGTCATTATTTGAAAAGACTTTTCCTTAATTAAGTAAAATATGGAGGAGTCAGTGGCCGGTGCACTTTTGTCCCAGAAGCCAACAGTTGCATTAATATACAAATGAGATTGCTAGGATATTGTTCTGATCCATTTAGCTTAAATGATAAAATGTAAGCTTCCTCCTTTTAAAGGTCTCTATTTCACTAGATGTTGTGTTTAATTCTTTCAACGCTTTCCCAAAATTCCACCACATCCCCTTTAGCTCCTTTTACAAAGCCTCGACCAATGTCCGGCCTTTCGCTCATTTTTCTATTCACACTTCAACTTACATACATATTTTTTTGTTTACACACTTTATTTCAAAACAAATTGTTTCGCTCCGACACGAGTTGCTATTCGTATGAAATTTCCGACAAATACATAAAAATGACAGCTACGTCGGATTCAGGCATACTAACATTACAAATCTCGAAGATGGCCTACGAATTTCGAAATTACGACACGACAACTTGGATTTCAGCATCGAATCTACGACGGATTACAGCATAGGGGTGATATCCTTTACAAAGCAGCAAGAAATTTCGCCACGCCAACGTTTAAAGAGCTGAAATCAATTAGAAATTATCCAAATTTTTATTTTTAATTAACAATAGTCAATAAAGCAAATGTTAAAGGTCTGTTCAGTACCATGATACAAAAAAGACGGTACCCTACAAGAATTGTGTGATGGAAACTAATCCATTCTCATTTGTCTTACTAACACATTTGCAAATTTTGCGTTGGTTGAAAAGAGACCACTAAATAAGACCATAAGTCGGAGGAAGACGGAAGATCACATGTACACAAATGTTTACATCACGTTTTGCATACTTACTTGATTGAGATCTCCATCACCAGTGAGTATCACATGATCAATCAAATGCCTATCACTGTTCTTGTAGGGTAGTTTCATTTAATGACATTCGTTGTTGTTGTTAACCATTTGACTTTTAATAAAATTATGACATTTCATTAAATTCATGCTACCTAATCACGAGCAGTAATGTTTTTTTTTTTAAGCAGAAGATTTCATCAGTTCACTCCAAGATGTCGAATATGATGAATCTGAAAATTAATGCATAATCTCCAAAATGGGGTTGACGAATCTAGATGGAATGGATGAAGAAAGTGATTAAAATCATACTTATGCTATTTGTTTATTGGCGAAGAGCATTCTTTAGAATTTGATTTTTAAATCGCAGGATTGCATTCAAAATAAGAAAATGAAAAAATAACAACATAATGCTCTCGTGATTTTTATTATCAAATAAAAATAACAATTTCAATGAAGTCTCCTTTAACATTACACATTTTNGCATTCTTTAGAATTTGATTTTTAAATCGCAGGATTGCATTCAAAATAAGTAAATGAAAAAATAACAACATAATGCTCTCGTGATTTTTATTATCAAATGAAAAGAACAATTTCAATGAAGTCTCCTTTAACATTACACATTTAAGATATTGTTAATAAAAAAATGTGCGAACCATGTAAGTAAAAAAATTACCAAGAACTGATAATGATTTTTGATTTGAAATATTGTTAAATTGGTATAAATGTGGGAAAGAAAATACTCCGATTTATTGTTTTAATATTATCAAAGTGGCAAGGCCGTTGAGAATACTCACAATTTATGAAACTTCAAAAAATTTTATTATCCGTCAAAAGTTGTTTATTGAAACTACCTTCTTTTTTGTATCATGCATGGTTCATGTACTACGTTTTGTCAAATTTAACTGAGTGACTACCTACATATGTACACTATTTTGCTTTATTACTCAATTGTTAAGTTCAAAAGTTGGTTTTATTGCTCAACGAGAAATGAAATAAAGCAAATACAGTCAGTCAATAAAGTTTAGGTACAGCGAATTTTTTACCATACGGGCCAATATTTTTTAAATATATATTATTTTTTGCAAATTTTTTATAAAAATATGGTTAATTCTACAACAAAAACCCCAAAAAGAAAAGTTCCTAACCTTGTGCAAAATCAAAGAAAATTCTGCAAAATTTCATTCAAATATTGCACTTTTTATTTACGCTCTCTAGAAAAAATTTGAGTATGCAGTTTTTTAGCCCATTCAATTTTAGTATAATAAAGTGCAAGTATGAGGAAGCTAGGACTTACCATTGATTTTTGGGAAATTTTTTTGTTGTAGGTGTCGCACATTTTTTCCATATAAAAAAATTATCAAACATTATTTTATATGGAGAAAATGAGCGCCACCTATTCCTCGAATCTGATGCCGTAGCGTGGTGACGAATGAACTGCTTAGCCTCAATGGGGTCAGAAGGAGAGCACATGCACTCTCCTGGACTTCCTGGAATCTTTGGGAATCAAAGATGTGTTGTGATGAGTGGAGGGCAAATAGACCCAGTAGGTCGCTGTGCAAACCCTTTAAATGTGTCTATATACATTCTACTTTAGTAATTGAAATAATGGCTATATTGCTATTAAAGCAGTGTTCTGTTCTTTTCTATGCAACAGTTTTTTTTTTTTCAAATATGCCACCAACACTATATGGGACCTTAGAGAATATAAAGGATATATAGCAAACTTGAGCAAGTTGTTTGAAGATTCTTTTAAATGCATTTATGCAGCTCTCTAGTAGCATAATTTGGGTTAGGATTGCACTTCTATCATCACAATCAGTATTAATGCTAAAGTGGAGTAATCCTCCATATACATATGTTTGTATTGTATTTAATTTAATTTAATTTAATTTCATTCTTAAACAGGACTCAACAATATTTTTGAAATATGCAATGATATTTGTGCCTGTGGCTTATACATCAAAAATCCTGCCGCTGTTTCATGAATGGGAAGATACGTAAGTACATACCAACTTCTGCACCAATGTACATACATATGTATGTACATAAATATGTTGTAAAAATCGGCCATATCACTCATTCCACCGTTTAGTCAATAAGCACGTAGAGTATAGCGATCAATCGGTCCATCTCTTAATTTCTTCTTTTTCGCTTGTTCTAGACCAGGTATATTATAGCTCACTTCATATGTTGTTACACCAGTTATAAATAATTTAGTTAATTCATTGTGGAATTCTGTTCTATCCGGTTTAGAGATCATTCCATAAAGAACATCCTTAAAGCGATCTAGTTCTTTAATTCGATTGTAGTACGTACCATAAGTGGTTTCATAATATTTCATATTACTTTTTTCTTGAGCTGTTCTTAAAAACCGTCGGGACTCCTTCCTTGATTGAAAACAATTAGGCGAATAAGAAATCATGTACGTACTCTTTTCCAAATCCCTTAACATTTGTTCTATCGCTTTTGCGTCCACACAAGGGGATCGAAAAAACATGTTATACAATTCCTTCTTGCATTTTTCCAAGCGATTTACAAAATGTTTATATTCCTCTACGCCAAATTTTGTTTTGGGCCATACTTTGCTTTTCACTTGCGCTCCATTGACCTGTAGTGGGCGCCAATAGTGGTTGCTGATGAGGGACTCATCACACTGTTCGATTTTTGTTGGCCCTTTAGCAAAAGGTGATTTCCTCTCTTTGTAATCCTGCCTGTATGTGCTAATATAATTTCCGCAGCATTCGAACATTCCGCAGTAAAATAAAATAAAAATATTAATTTACATACATAATAAAATAAAAAAAAAAAACAATTTTTATTTTGATTTCCAGTTGTTAAAATATGGACAAACTAAAGTGTGTGATTTTTTTTATCTGTTTTTATTTTTATTTTCCAGTGATTTGAAAAATGAACTTGTACAAGTGGTGTCGATGGATTTGGGACTGGAAAACGAGCTTTTTAATGAGTCTTTGCTTACAGACGTTTGGTTGGTCTCATTGGGCGGCATATTCGTTATGACCTGTATTTGGCTGTATACAACTTCGATATTTATAACGTTGATGGTGTGTGTTGCAGTGCTGTTTTCATTGGGATTAGCCTACTTTGTTTATACTCTTGTATTCAAAATGTCATTCTTTCCCTATATGAATTTGTTAGCTGTGGTCGTTATTATAGGTAAAGGATTATGCATGTGGTATGTAAATTAAAATTAATTAATTAANCATTCTTTCCCTATATGAATTTGTTAGCTGTGGTCGTTATTATAGGTAAAGGATTATGCATGTGGTATGTAAATTAAAATAGCTTCTGATTTAATTCAAGGCATAGGAGCAGACAATGCATTCCTGTTTGTGAAAATTTGGCAATGCGTTATTGCAGAACGCTTCACAAAGGCAACCTCGAATCATGTGACGTCAGTTACCGATAGTGGTAGTGAGCATACGGAAACTTTACAAAATCTAATGGCGTCTACATTTCATCATTCGGCATTGTCAATGTTTGTATCTTCATTAACAACCGCAACCGCATTCTTTGCATCGTACACCAGCTCCATTACGGCGATAAAATGCTTTGGGTAAGTTAAGCTGAAATTAGTCATGAACGTAAACCTACCGGTACGTAAACCCGAGTCGGCTGCTGACACGATCTGTCTTACCAAAGCACCATGTAACTGAAAACTCAACACCGCAGAATTTTTCTGTAGTTGTAGCCCGTAGCGCAGAAATCTGCAGAATTTAGATTTTTCCGTGTCAGCTGATTTCTTCCTTCTATAAATGGTTGCCACTTCGTCAGTTTTGCAGATGGTAAAAAAGTTCCTATTCATAATATGTTTCAAATATTTGAAATTTACTATTGAATAAGGTTTTTTGTTGAAAACTAAGTAGTTTATATTTTGCTACGATCTATTATAGGACGAAAAATTGTTGTTGATAACGTAAGTGTATGAAAAGGCATTGATGAGTGGCAACACTGAGGGCTCCAGTAATCGGCAAAATTCTGCGTATACAGACTGCGTTTAAGTATACTTGTTGCGTTCTTGACTAATTTCAGCTTTAATTTTTGCAGCATGCATATACATACATACATACATATGTATGTACATTTTTAATATCATCGGCTGAGTGGAAGATCGCTCTATCTCAAAACAAATTAAAAATATCGTGAGCTGAGATTGGGCGTTTTTCAACCAAATTCTGAAATAGGACGTTTTCGAACAGTGGTCGGAGACGCCATGTTTTACGCGAAAAATTAGAAAGGCTGTTACGATTATAATAAAACTGCAGGATCGTGGTCGAAAATACCACAGATAAGGTTTTTAGGCATACTAGTTACGAATTTTATATAAAATAAATTTTTTTAGTGTTTACAGCTGTCAAATAGACGGCTATTTTTTTCTAAAAATAAGACAATCTTTTTTAAAATGCCCTTGATAAGGTTTTTTAGGACCGCTAGTCACGAATTTTAGGTCAAATTAAAACTTTGAGAGTTGACAGCTGTCAAATAGACTGTTAATTTCTCTAAAGCCAAGGAAAATTTTGCTAAGAATTAAACGTACTAGGTTTTAAGGCCCGAAACATGGTAATATGTATGTAGTACTAGCCCTGCAAAAAATGGGACTCATCTGGGATGACTCCGAGAGCAATCGCAAAGGAGCATGCGACTAATACCACTTTTGATCTCTATATGGAGTGAACTGATCGCTGTGTGACACAACACAAAAATAGAAACACTAAACAAACACAATAGCACCCACACACCGCCGCCGGCAACTCCTCGCGTGTTGCGAAGTCCTGAGCATGCCCTAAAGTGGCACCAGGCAAGGACTGATAAACCGAGAAGATTGTCGGTGGGACTATGTTGGCCCCTGCTGTGCTGCCCAGTCGTATATCTCCCCGCGACGCCGCCAACCACCACCACAAGGCAGCACCCCCTTTTGCAGCACATACAGCAGGGAGCCGGCAGGCAACGCAACTCCATAACACCACACATCACAATTGGTCTCCCAAGGCACACAAAGGTGCTACAATTAAACTGTAACAGACTTCATAGCAAGAAACGAAGTGGCACGGCAATCCAACCTTGTTGAATTGCGCCGGATACAACGTGCACCGTCGCGAGATCGCGAGCAAGACAATGGTGGAGGCTTAGCGTTCATCACGCACAATACCGCAGGGATACCATCCTAGAATGTCAGGGTATTGCTATCCGGTCAGGCGATGTTGAGCTCGAAATATTTAACGTATATATATCCCCTGTCACTAGCTGCTCGGCAGGGTATCACCCTGAAATAGGTGCGCTACTCAGAGGTGAAAACCGTATCGTAGTTGGCGACTTTAACGCGCACCATGTTCTTGTTCAAATGATCGTAAGGGAACACATCTGGCTGATCAAATAGACGATTCGATATTCTGCACAATGAACGACGACGCACCCACCAGGATTATGGGCAGCTGCTGCAGTTCGCCAGATCTAACAATTGTCAGCACTGGTCTGATAATCAGCGTTTCATAGAGACCTATGCTGACCCTAGCATCAGACCATCTGCCCGTAGTCATCACGATTGATAAACCTGCCGACTTTGCTTCCACGGATCACCAGACCTATGTCAACTTTTCCACTGATTGGAAAGGCTTCGCGGATGTTACTGAAAGCGCCTTCACAGCACTACCCATACCAATCGACGTTCACGTAGGTGCTGCAGCTCGCTTCATCCCAGCAGGATGTATTACAGATCCGCGTCCGAACTTTCCTACTGAAGCGGCTGTTCTAGCCGATGAGCGTGACAACCTTCGTTAGGCCGATCCCGGAAATCCCCGTATCAGGGATCTCAATTCGGAGATTCGGCAACTTTTGAACGTACATAAGCGGAAGAAATTGGAAGAGCATCTAAAGTCCTGCAACTTCGCCTCTGGTGTGAATAAGCTTTGGCCAACCGTGAAGTCATTGTCCACCCCGGCGAAGCGTGACGACAGAGTTTAAATAGACTTTGGTGACCACGCTTCGTCGGCAATTGTCAACAAAGGACAGAGCCGCAACAACGTCCTCAACTCGCTGGCCGGCGGCACTTGGGGCAAAGATAAAGAAACGTTGTTGGCAACATACAAGGCAATTGGCCGGCCGGTTCAAAACTATGCAGCGCCCTTGTGGTCGCCTCGGACTAGCAGGACGCAGGGGATGAAGCTACAGATCTGCCATGATACGGCACTATGGACAGCGACCGGATGCCTCCTGATTACGCCCCAACACCACCTACACGATGAGGCCCAGATGCTCCCAGTCAAGGAGCATAACACAACGCTCTACCAGCAGTTTCTTGTGGGGAGCCAAAGACGTGGTCATCCTAGCAAACAGCTGCTTGCAGAAGAGCTCTTGCCAAGGCACGTCAGGAGGAATCTCTACGAACTGACGGACGAAGTCCAGAGGTTCATTAAACAACCTCTGGACCCGTCAGCTTACCGACAGGCCCTAAACGGCATTCAAAGGGAATCAGTCTCTAGTTATGTAGCCTCCCGCCCTGTGAATGCCGTTCTAGGCACACAACCACCTGAGAAAAACAAAAAAAAAACTGCTGGAGCTGACGGCCTGCCAGCCGAGGTACTCATGTACGGCAGCGAGGAGCTGATGAGGTGCATGCATCAACTCTTATGCAGAATATGGTCAGATGAATGCATGCTCGACGACTTTAATTTAAGTGTAATCTTCCCAAGAAAGACGACCTCGCCATTTGCGGATCAGCCTTCTAAGCATATGTTACAAGGTCTTATCGAGCTTATTGTGTGAGAGACTGAAGCCCACCGTCAACGAACTGAATGAACCTTATCAGTGTGGCTTTATACCTGGCAAATCTACCATAGATCAGGTGTTCACAAATCTTGAAAAAGACCCGCGAGAATTGGATCGACACTCACTATCTATTTGTCGATTTCAAAGTCGCTTTCGACAGCGCGAAAATAAGTTGTTTTTATGCCGCGATGTCTGAATTTTGTATTCCCGCGAAACTAATACGGCTATGTAAAATAACGTTGAGCAATACCATCAGCTCTGTCAGAATTGGGAAGGACCTCTCCGAGCCAAATGGCTCGGTTGAAGATGGGCTTCCGACTTTTACACAATACGCTAGATAAGACCGTATACCTCATGCCATAATTAAGGAACCAATTAGTTTTCAGCGCCTTTTCGATGTGTCTACTTTTGCGTAAAATAAACGTTATATTTTTTTTTTAAGAATTGTTTAGGTTATAAAATTTAGAGCCGTTTCTCAAGTAGCCATTAAAATTTATCTGCCCTTCAAACACATTTTTGAGAATATTTTTTTGCCTTGCCTCGTAATTAGCTCGCTTCCGAACGAGTGTTCTGTTGCTACCCAGAGGATACTTAGTGTAAACACCAGAAGTCGTGAATTGCTTGAACCCTAAGCAAAATAATCATTTTAGGCCTTTATGTTGCGTGAACCCGGAACTATTCTGGTACATATGTACATATGTATGTATGTTAGGGTGCCCATCGAAAATGTTTTTTTTTTTTAACTTCAAGACCCTACCCTCTAACTTTATTCTTTTTTATGAGAAATATTATTGCCTATTTTAATAAATTTTTTAAAGGTCATTTAGAGGTCGCGACCTGGCGATTTAGGTCAGAAAATGCGATTTTGTAGATCTATGAGTTTTTGAATGACTATTTTTGAATCGATTTCAATGATCGAATATGATCTGAGAAGAGGATATATAGGCCTTTAAAATGTTATATAAAAATATATTGTCGGACTTGGCTTGTTGGGATTTTTTATCGGGTAAAATAAAAAAAATATATATCTCTTAATCTTTTAAATTTTGACCTTCAATAATTTCCACAATTTCAAAATACTTAAGTACGCCTAAAAATGAACGAGTAAGCGTTTTTGCGTAATTTTGTACGAAAACAATTCTGTGTCGGAGGCGAGATAAAAGATGTAAATCGATGTGTGTTTGCAGGAAATATTAGTGGTGTTCATTTAAACAGATAAATTTGCCCTTCGCATATACGTATATTTTTATCCACTGCTTTATATAAACGAGCAAAAAAGAATCATTGTAGCCCCTTATCGAGAAACTTGGGTGCCGTTTAGTTATTTGTACAATGATTTTCGGTTGTTGTGTCCAAACGCATAATCCGAATCCAAACAGTTTAACATCACGCGTAATCAAAGGATTAAAATTTTATTTAAAATAAATGTTTCAAATTTCCGAGCACTATCTTATTAATAAATTCGGTTTGCACAATGCACTTTTTTGCAAATTTCGACGTGGGTTCTGCGCAATAATACTGTGGATAGCGTAGCCGGAGTGATGTGCACAAGAAGGGTTGTATACCTTTGACATGCGGAAGCCCCTCTTCTCCGGCAACTCACAAAGGAGAATTATACTTAGTAAGGTTTATAATCCCTAAGCGCGGCCGGGTTTTTCGTAGCGTAGCTACGAATTACGAATAATGAAAATTCGGGTTCTAGAATAAGGGAGTTGGACTTACATGGTGGTTGTTAGATAGTGAGATATACTTTTACAAAAATTAATTAATCATTAAATAAACGAAAGAGAAATAGCCAAATTTTGTTAAACCATCGCGTGCCTATTTATTTTTCCGCCACTGTAGATTGCATTATAAAATATTTTTTCTTAAAATTACAGTGTCTTTGCGGGAACTGTAGCTATAACTAATTATTTGCTTATGATAACTTGGCTACCTGCTGTCGTGTGCATAATGGAACGTCTCTCTGCCTGTACGGTCTGCAATAGTAAGCTTCCCTTGCAGAAATTATTGCTCATGTTCAACAAGTCAATTACAAAGTCCTGTCAACTATTTGAGGCAATTATTACAAGGGCTGTGATGAATTACGCAACAATTTGGATATGCTTATTTGGTAAAATTATACAAATATTGAAAATAGTACGAGGGGCATTAAATAAGTCAAGTCTTTAGACATTTTGTTCGTATAATGGTTTTATTGTTTTTCCCACAGTGAAGTGACACAAGTTCATCGATGCACTGTTGTTGTGCTAATCCACGGCGAAGCGCCCCAGTAGATAATTTTAGCAGTTGAAAGCCCTCCGTAAAAGTCGAGCGGACTTCCACTTTGCCTTCTTTTCACTTTTTTATGGAGTGGCACAAATTGAAGGACTTCTGCTTTCACTGCCCAAGGAAGGGCTTCCAGAACGGCTTTTGTATGACGTACCCCAGAAGGCCTTTCGAGGAGTCCTTCTCAAGTTGCTTCTTTATTAAAAAAAAAAAAAAAATCATATTCTAAGGTATTTATTTATTAAGGTTCGCATAAAATATGTTTTATTGCAAATTTTAAATGTAAGCATATAATTTTTCCGTATCGAGTGGGTTGCGTTCGTTCGTCGTAATTTTTCGCTGAATTCTTCCAATTTCGTCAGCGAGTCCGTTTTATTGATTAAATATCTTAAAAAGTTTAAAAGAATAAAGTGTTGCACGATAGAATTTATTTGTTTACTTTGAGCCAGCTGATTTTAAACATCGAAATCTGGAATTTTAGTGCGGCAACACCCTTTTCGAGTTCCTATGTATTCTTTGATGGGAATTTTTTCTTATTCGTATTCGTGGATTCTCTTCGATGGATTCTACGATAGGGCGAAATATAAACTTATATTCGCGTAAATGAAAAAAAGAGTCCTTCTAGAAGACATCGAGGGGAAACACTTTTTCAGCCCTTCTTGGGTACGCCTTTTGGGTTGGTTCATTTAAGAAGGCCTACCTAAATTATCTTTTGGGGCGCTGTAATCAAACGTTCTTAGTATATTATGCTAAAAAATTTAAAATCTTACATCGATTGACACTAGTGTTGCTTATTTAATGCTCCCGTATGTAAATAATACTTGCATATATATTTTATTTTATTTTATTATATTTTATAGGCGCGATAGGATTATGTAGCGCAATTATTGTATTATATGTGCCTGGCCTACAGTTGCCTGATAGTTCCCATTTTCAACTGTTCTCAAGTAGTCATCCCTTCGAAATTTATAATAGCAAAATGAAAAATGAGTTTTGGTTTGAGAAATCGATGTCGGTAAGTACTGAAAGTATCCTTTAATTACTAAATACGTACATGGTTGCATGTGTATTTATGTACATATGTACTTAATAATAAACTTTCTAATTTAAGGCCTATGAAAATTTTAAATTACCGCTACGCTTCGTGTGGGGTATCCAGCAAGTTGACGACGGTGATTACACTGATCCCTATTCTCGTGGAAACTTATATTATGACAATAATTTTAATATATCAACTAAGGCTGCACAAATCTGGCTGTTGAATTTTTGCAAGAAAATAAGACAACAACCATTTTATGAAGTTACATTTGGATCGTTGCTGTCAAATTGCTTTATTGAGAATTTCATTTCATTAATGGAGCGCATGTGAGTTTGATTAGTCAACATTAGAGGGCGATACAAACTTTTGCCATTTTATAAAATTATTTCCTATTATTTTCCAAATGAAATGTCAGAATTGTGCTCTCTCCTTGCATGTTTTTTTTTCCAAACGAACGAGATTTGGTAACAACTTGTACAAGTCCGTTGCGTAGCAAACAGAACTATTATGGAAGTAGATCAGACGATTAAAAACCTGATAGAAATTTGAGTTCTTTAGGTGCAATTTTTTTTTAATTCTGTTTTTGATAGAAATCTGTAACTAACTTAATGCTGTAGTAGTTGCTACTAATTCGTATAGGATTTTAGTGGGTAACCTACCTCATTTTATACAAAGCTGGATTTGGGAAAAAATTACTTAAGCCCTTTATTTGTTAAGTTAGCCACATTTGGAATGACGTAACAAAACGCAATGAAAACCTATTGCATAGCATAGTCTGGCATCATTGAATACATTTAGCTAAGAACGTATCCATTGCAAGTATATTTTTTCAGACTACATATACTATCTCAATATGAAAAGTCAAATACCACCAAAAAGCATTACGTCGATGTTCTTTTCCAAACTGCCCATTNGACGATTAAAAACCTGATAGAAATTTGAGTTCTTTAGGTGCAATTTTTTTGTAAATTCTGTTTTTAATTGAATGCTGTAGTAGTTGCTACTAATTCGTATTAGGATTTTAGTGGGTAACCTACCTCATTTTATACAAAGCTGGATTTGGGAAAAAAGCCCTTTATTTGTTAAAGTAACGACATTTGGAATGACGTAACAAAACGCAATGAAAACCTATTGCATAGCATAGTCTGGCATCATTGAATACATTTAGCTAAGAACGAATCCATTTCAAGTATATTTTTTCAGACTACATATACTATCTCAATATGAAAAGTCAAATACCACCAAAAAGCATTACGTCGATGTTTTTTTCCAAACTGCCCATTGACCAATTGCAAAACCGCCTATCTTACGGCACTAAAATTTTACAGGAGAGCGAAAAAACGGGTTTTCTTCGAAGGCATTCTCATGATAGGCGGCATTTTCTCTAGCCATTATTTTACAATGCCTGGAGTTCCGGGTTACCAAACCCCATTTTTGCCACAATGGCGATTTAGGCTGTTTTGCAACTGGTCGATGGGCGGTTTTGCAAAAACATCGACGATAACAAGTTAAATTATTGCGGTTTGTTATTGAAATCCTAATGTGTTTTAATCATATCCTTTTTATAAGGAGGCAATTACAAATTAAGTCATATCTCTCTAATAAACTCATATCTAAAAAAAAATTATTTCCAGGTGCATAGATGGAATGGACAATTCGGATCGTACACCATGTTGTGATGTATCAAAGTTTCCTTTTGAGCCTCACGTTTTTGACACCTGCTTGCCGGAAAGCATGTCCTTACTCTATGCGACACCGCGTATNCATATCCTTTTTATAAGGAGGCAATTACAAATTAAGTCATATCTCTCTAAAAAAAAATTATTTCCAGGTGCATAGATGGAATGGACAATTCGGATCGTACACCATGTTGTGATGTATCAAAGTTTCCCTTTGAGCCTCACGTTTTTGACACCTGCTTGCCGGAAAGCATGTCCTTACTCTATGCGACACCGCGTATGTATTACACACCTGGGGTGGCTGGACCTAGATTTCTGGCGGAGAAGAATACCCTTGGCTCGTCACATGGCCACCACGACAAAACTATAAAAAATGTGTCTCAAAATCGAATTGTGGCTCCACCAAAAGTGAAAGCTTTGGTGATCGAATTCGAATCGAATGTCACATACACCACGGCCTACAATGACGTAAGAAAATTTGTTCAAGCAGTCGACCAGTGGCTAGCAGATGAGTTGAAAACAGCACCACCCGAAATGCAAGGCGGCTGGTTTACGAGCGAACTCAAATTCTTCGACACACAGAACACACTGAGTCACGACACTTTGGTAGCGATTATTGTGGCAATGAGTGCTTCGCTCTTTGTTTTACTACTGGTTACCTTGAATGTTTTAGTATCCCTATATGCCGTTATAACTGTGTTGCTTACAATCTTTACGACGGTATCAATACTAATATTGGTTGGTTGGAAGCTAAATGTATTGGAGAGTATTACTGTAAGTACGGCGATTGGATTAGCGGTAGACTTTAGCCTACACTATGGTATACATTATCGCATGTCGCCGACGAGTGAACGCCTGGCTGCTAGTCAATTCACATTGTCGCGGATTGTAGGACCAACGTCGATGGCAGCAATTACTACAGGTGTGGCTGGTGCTTTAATGCTGGCTTCCAATGTACTGCCGTATATACAGATTGGTTTGTTCTTAGTTATTGTAATGATTGTTAGCTGGTTGTACGGAACGTTTTTCCTTATGAGTCTATTAAGGACAGCTGGTCCGCAGTATGGTTTCATGCAGTTCAGTTACCCTTTAATAAGTAAAGGGTCGGCAAATAGCGGCAATAAATATTATGAAAGGTAAGTATTCGCTTATACATGTTAAATAATAATTGTGAATAAGATATACTTATGTAGTTGATTTCCAATTCATGCAAACCTGTGCTTATTTAACTACTTGTATAAAATTCCAGAAAACAAAGTCAAGTTATTGCTAGCGAGCAATTACTTACACCATCAAGTTCGGCAATCGGCGAATTAATCAGTTCGGAAACACATGAGCTTGAGTCGCTCACATCGAGTTCGTTGATTAAGACGATTTCCGGTACAGAAAGCTCGCATCCACTGAGTGTAGATTTCGAACATTCTTTCAATAATAAGCCTGCCAATACCAATGCCAACATATCATCCGCCATTGATCGCAAAGGTCCGTCTATCGAAAGCTCAATATCTGAGTTACATGCTACAAACTGAGATACCTATATTTGTACATATATGTGTAATTAACTATTTTTTATTACACCGTGCGACAGTACACTT